ATTAGAAAACTAAATTGTTCAGGGAAAGCTGAAGAAGAACCAGTGGAACTTGGTTTGAGCATTAGGACCTTGGAAGAGAGGTGGCTCTATACTGTTGACATACTGGAATGCATTCTTAGCCAGGGAGAGCTCTATTCCCTAGAATTTCTTGAAAAAGAATTTGAAAGAATTTTATTTGGCAAGGAAAATGGATCTTTGGCTATGGTTAAGAATCTTTCTTATGGATATGAGTGTCTGTCAGGGTCAATATAAAAAGGCAGTAGCCAGCCTGCATCATCTGGCAGCTCTCCAGTGATCACTTTCTCAGCCACAGATTCCAGGATGTTGGAGCATCAGAGGGTGCTATCCAGCTAGGAACATTTCACTTTGCTCGGGGGAATACAGGATAATGAGTAAAAAAGTCCTTGGCCTGATGTGCTACAAGTGACTACCCATTCGGGATGGAGGCAAATCCCAGAAAGAACCCCCAGAATAAAGCCCAGGTTTAGAAAAGGTTCTAATCTGAAGCTTCTGCCCTGTATGAGGAAAGCTGTTACACCATACTGCTTGCATTTGATGCTAGCATGTTTTAAGCTTAGAGTTTTCACTAGACAGCAGTGATGACACTGGGGCATGTAGTCATTCTGCTTCAGCAAGAGTGGCCATGGGATGAGAATCTTTTCTTGAAAGCTGTCAATAAGATATGCCAACAAGGAACTGCCAAGTATGAGAATTTTTTTTCAATTATGTTACAAACATTGATAGGAGGACTTTGCCTACTTTGGAACTTAGGAAGGTGAGAAGAGTCATCTGTAATTACTACCTGTTATGGCTTGGGTCTAGATGTCCCTCCCCAAACCTCATGTGGTCATAGGTAGAATTTTTCAGAAGTGGCTGGCTGTAGAATGTCTAATGCTGTGATTAAGGGTGGGCAATCATTAAATTAGTCCACTGATTGGATTGGCATAGTTTTGGGTGTGGATAATAAGAAAGCCCACCCAGTGTATGAGTGCTACCTGCTTAAGGGCATATATCTTTGATTGAATATAAGGATTTAGCTGGGCGTGGTGGCGCATGCCTGTAATCCCAGCACTTGGGAGGCTGAGGCAGGAGGATCGCTGTGAGTTCGAGGCCAGCCTGGGCTGCAAAGTGAGCTCAAGGCCAGCCTGAACTGCATAGTGAGACCCTGTCTCAGAAAAAAGACAAGAAAAAAAAAAAAAATATATAAAGGACTGAAAGAGCACTGCTGTTACTGCTTGATGCTTGCTTCTTTTGCTGCCTTCTGCCTGCCATGAACTGTTTCTCTGTGATGCCCTGTGCCATGCCATGCTGTATTGGAGCCAGCTGATTATGGACTGAAATTTCTACAAGCTGTGAACCGAACTAAACCTTTCCTTTGAATGTTGGGTATTATGTCTCAGCAACTAGAAAAGTAACTAAGACTATACCCAGTCAAAGAGTGCTGACCACATAGTCACTGGAGACATCACCAAAGGCAGGAAGGCACGTTTCTGCCTGGCCACAGAGTGACGAGTCCCCCCTTTGGCAAGAATCTGATCATGGTGCTGCACAAGCCCTGCATTAGTGAGAAGACTTTGCTGCTTCAAATTCTGACTTGAGTGGAGACCTTTGTGGCAGAGGCAGCTGGTCCCTGTGCTTTTTTGAGAGAAGACACAGGAACCATGAGTGTTGTTATAAAAAAAAAGCAGGAAACCACCAGAGTTCCAACCTTTTGGTTGCTTAAAAGAAGTTCCCAAGAGCCTGAGAAGTTGTATCTATTTTTAAGAGTCATGTTTTATAATTTTTGTAAAACAAAAGAATCAAACTTTTGTAAATAAAATTCATCCTAAAATTTGACCAAAAAAAAAAAAAAAAAAAAAAAAAAAAAAAATGGAGCTTTCTGCTATTTGGTTTTTGTTTGTTTGTTTGTTTTTTGTTTTTTTCTGGTACTGGGAATCGAACTCAACCTTGCGCTTGCCAGGCAGGTGCTGTGCCACTGAGCTAAATCCCCAGCCCTACTTGGTATGTTTTTGACTATAGGTTTATTTTCTATTTTATAGCCTTTGTTATGTTGAGATATGTTCCCTATAGACCTGACTTGTTGAGTTTTTATCATGAAGTGATGTTAAATTTTATTGAATGATTTTCACATCTAATGAAATAATCGTATAACTTTATCTTTAATTGTGTTGGTATGATGTGTTATATTCATTAATCAGAGTACTTTGAGCCATCCTTGTATGCTAGGATAAATCTCACCTGATCAGAATGATTGATCATTTTGATGTTCTTTTGGATTCAGTTTGCTAGTATTTTATTGGGAGTTTTCGTATCTATGTTCATTAGAAATATTGGTGTATAATTTTCTTTTTATGTTGTATCCGTAGATGGTTTAGTATTAGGGCAATGCTGGCCTTGTAGAATGAGTATGGAAGAATCCACTTTTTAGTATTTTGTAATAGTTGAAGAAGAATTGGTATTCCTTCTTTAAAATTTTGTACGATTTAGCAGTGATGCCATCCAGCACTGGACTGTCCTTTGTTGAGAAACTTTTTGATACTGATTCAATCTGTTTATTCATCTCTTTAGGTTTTCTGTATCTTCATGGTTCAATTTGTGTAGGGTACATGTGTCCAGAAATTTTTCCATTTCTTCCAAGTTTTCTAATTTGTTGGTATATAGTTGCTCATAATAGTGTTTATTTGATCATCTGTTGTATTTCTGTACAACAGATATTTAATATTTTAATATGTAGAAAAATGTCTCTTCTAACAATAAGATTTAGGCCTTAGTTTCTTATTGACTTCTTTTTTCCATAGGTCCAGGATATGGAGGCTGATACTCTCATTGGCTTTTTGAATGGCATTGAGTGGATTCTTGAAGAAGTAGAATCTAAGCGGGCAAGATGATCCTCATTTTGGACCTTCAGAACTGTAACTATTTTGAAATTTGTTTCTAAGGTCATGACATGTGTTTGCTCAGTTAACTAGCTTTGTCCCACCTTTTTCATAGGTGGACATTAAACCGCTGTAGCTGGTAGTAGTATTTTTTTGTTTTGTTTTACTTTTTGCCTTATATCAATTATGAGCAAAAAGCTTCCATTCCTACATTTAGCCCCCAAATAAACCTTTAAATTTTTGATAACTTTTATATCTTTGTCTTTTTAAATTATTAAATTCTGGAAAAAACAACTGTGTATCTTCCTCATTTCTTGTGGTTTCTGTTCTTTTTGGGTACAGCAGTTGTTCTAGAGGGAAATAGCAAATTTGTTAAACTCTCCAAAGAGTTTTTTCAAGTTTCTTCCTAACTAGTTATCAGACAGGAAGTGTTTTCTCCCCGCACCCCACTCTTCTTTTTTTGTCTTTTTAAAACAGGGTCTTCCTATGCAATTCAGGCTGGACTTGAGCTCACTTTGTAGCCCAGGCTGGTCTTGAACTCAAAAGCATCTTCCTGCCTCACCCTCATGAGTGCTGGGAATACAGGTGTACACCACCATGCCCAGCTTCCCCTTGATTCTTAAAGATACACTGCTGAAGAACTGAAAATTCCACTAGAACTCCAGTTAGTGATTGTGGTCACACAACTTTTGTTCTTTTCTGATAACAGCAGAAAGATTATATTTAATACTAGTTTAGTGAAAAAAAAAGCTTTTCCTGACTTTTATTGTAATTTTTAGATAATTTTGAATGCTCATAATATACTAAAGTTAAATTATATTTTGTACTCACAGAGAAAACCTTCCAGAGCTTTGCATATATAATGTTACCACTTTCTACAAATTGCTTGTATTTTGCAAAGGCAGCACTCTGGTATGTCACTATATGTGAGGAACTTTAAAATTATGATAAAGAGTATATATATTTATATATAGTTTATATTAGTTTTATATGTAAATGTATTTCTGTTTTGAGGGGAAAGTTTGTGATACATACACATAATTGCATTTAGTGTTACTTATGTGAATGTCATTCTATTTGGACACCTAAAAGTTTTAACTAGGAGATAGGATATTGCTTAATGAGCTATTTATGGGGTTAGGCAGATATTTTAGGAAAACCTATGAGCATGCAGTTTCACACTTGCTAAAATGTTTACTTAGATATTTGTAGTTTTATTATAGTAAGGCATTATTTATAATATTTACAATTAAAGTTACATGGAATAGTGACTTAATTTACTAGGCCCCTCATTGAAATGACAGTGTTTTTATAACAGTCCTCTTTTTTTAAAAACGGCATTCTAGTGCAATAATTAATGTGTAATTTCTGGTTTTTGGAGAAAATGAAATGCTGATATTTTTAGTATGAAATCCTAGGTCAGTCACCAGATTAAAACTAGTTCCTTGTCATCTTTTCTTTTTTCATATAGTACATTCCAATATTTAATCTAGATTTTTGCTAAAGTTAAATTTACTTTCCTAGTTTTCAATTTAATTTTTCAGAGTCTCAACAAAATCTTTTTTTCCTCCATTTATGCTATGAAATCTAAGCCTTTTATATTAATTCATTTTAAATGGTCTTTTTCCAGATCTCATCATCTTTGTATGAGACTTGCATCTCTTTAGCTTTTTTTCTTCATGTAATATGAGATATAACCTGATGTATTTTATCCCTGTTGTCTTTGAGAAGTACATTAACCCAATACATTATAGTTAACTTTTGCTTATTGCTTTGAGGAGTAAAGGGGACTTAAAATTTACTAAAAGGAGGTTGCTATATAGTTTATAAAATATGTAATGTTTGGAGCTGAGACTAAATTCTAACCTTCATGATCACTGTGTCAGGGAATGTGCATGGTGCTTTGTACACAGAAATCTTAAATGTTAGAAAAACCTTGCAAAGTTGGTGTTGTCTTAATGTGTATTTTGTTGCTAAATAACACAACACACAGACTTGATCAGTTACAAATAACGGTTTATTTTGGTCCGTGCTTGTGTTCCAAGGTCTAGGGGTGTTATCTAGTGAAAGTCTTCATGTGGGCAGAGTCCCCAAGCTGGCAAGAAAGAGGAGGGGGCACAGGAAAGATTTAGTCAAACTGACTTTCATACCAGAGCCACTGTCAGGAAAACTCACTAATCCCCTCGGTTGATTAAATCCATTCATGAGTGCAGAGCCCTAATCATCTCTTAAGGTTTTCACTTTTTCCTACATCTTCGTATCTCATAATGGGGATTAAATTGCAACATTAGTTTCAGCGGGAACATACCATGTTAAAATCACAGCAGTGGTATTATCCTTTTATTTCAGGTGGAGAAATTTTGAGACCCAGAAAAATGAAGAATTCTATTACAAAGTCATGTTATGTCACTGTTCAGTTTCATAGTTTTTGGTGACCGGAGAAGAATTCATCTCACAGATCTCTGGCCAGTGAGGAAGTGATTTCGAAGTGAAAATAGTTTATTGCAAAGCAGGATATGGCTCACAGACAAGCCAGGACTCCCCCCAGAGCGTGGGCAACATGAGTTACTTTGTTTGGGTTTCTCTTATTTTGCTATACTTTTTGACTTTGTTTATTCCCCACCCTATTACATATTCATGATTTACTCCTGTACTGCTTTCAGTTTTGAAGTATGCATGCATTTCCCCCTTTTTCTGGAGCCTGAAGCAGGTAATAATGACAGTCAAGGTACATGCTCTGCTGAGTGAAAAATCCCTTTATGATTAGTTTAAGTTTGGGTATATCAAGAAGTGAATGTTAGTATCTGGGGAAGTAAGTGTGGGAGGGCCTCACCTTTGACACTAACATTCTAAATTGGACTGCTCCATGTCATTCTCTGAAATGATTATTCTACCACATGACAGCTATTTTACAGGTATAATTAGCTAGTCATATAAAAAGTCAGTGTTAATTAAAATTCTATTACCACCATTAAAAACTTGTAAAATATGCCCTTATAAATGGTGTGTTCTAAAACTGCTGTTAAAATAAGTATATGCTAGAGAAATATGTGTTTTATTTATACCCAGATTGAGTATAATTTCTTATATTATTGTCAGAAGTTTCCCTGAACTTTGAGATTTGTCTAATTCCTCTATTGAGGAATTTTCAGTGGTTTGCCATTTCCTTAAAGATAAGGTCTAAAATTTCTAGTCTGCTATAACTGTAGGAAAGAGAAACTTTCTTAGGCTTTTTGCCACTTTTGGTGACATAAAAATATTAATGCGTTGTGATATTGTAATTGTTACCGTGATGGTGAACTGTATTTATGAAACATTTAAACTTTATTCATGAAACATTCCTAAATAAATCAGATAAAAGTATGAGACTAGGTAAATGTTTGAAGTTTTTGTTATTTGGAAAATATTGTGGGGCTTGGAGATATAGCTCAGAGTACTTGTCTAGCATGTACAAGTACCTGAGTTCAGTCCCCAGTATGGTAAAAAAATATATGTATTTAGTAATGATAGAAAACATGAAAAAAATGAAGTTCAACAGTGCATGCCTACTATGTGTCAGTCTCTTGTTACAAGTGATGCAGAAACAAATAGCAACTTACAGCTTTTAGCACAGATTTCTTTTTCAGCAGTTTTTTTTCTGAGCTAAAGTTGTGATGGAGCTTGCCAGCATTTTGCAAAATTACATAAATTTGTAATATAAAAATTAGTATGCAGTAAGCAGATACTTCTCCTGACAGGAAACATAAGAAGAAATATTTAACTCCAAGGTCTCAGAGTTTCTCTTTAGGATATTTTAAAGTGATAACAAGGCATGAGTATGGGAAGACCTTTATAGAAAGAGCTTTATAGAAGGGATTTGGTGACTGGTTTCAACAGCTTTAGAAGCTTTAAGTGTTATAACCTCAAAATTTTATTTCTACAAGCATGTCTTCAGAGAAACCAAGTCATTATTGTGACAAACCTACAACAAAACATTCAATGTAGCATAGCATAACTGATGGTAGCAAAACTTTTCTAAAAAGAAGTATGATAGACTATATTAGTCAGCTTTAACTTATGTCATAAAATATCTGAAGTAATTAACATAATGAAAAAGGATTTATTTTGGTTCATGCTTAAGAGAAGCACATTATGGGAACACGTGATAGAACAAACCTACTTGTACAGTGGTACCCCATGAACTTAATTCTTTCCACAATTCTGCTCACAAACCAAATTGGTTGAGAACCAAATCACATTAACCATTGAATTTGATTCCATTTTTGTCCAGTTCTGTTTGTGACCAGAATTGTGGAAAGAAAGTAGTGAACTGAGGTACCATTGAGACACAATATTCAAAATCCACAGTTTAATGGAGGTATGATTTGGCTCACAGCTTCAGAAGATTCATTCCATAGTCCTCTAGCTCCAAGGCAGAAACATGGCAGAAGGGTGTGGCTAAATTACACTGCTTAGGTTTTGGCTGCTGGGAAAGACAGCAGGGAACAGTGTCAGAGAAGAAATGTGCCAGAAATCATATAATACCAAGGTCATGTCCCATGAACCAGCCGGGTATACCTAAAAGTGTGCTTTACTAACTTGTAGGTGTTTCTTAATCAACTCAAATTGACATATTACAGCACTCACAGTCCACTCCTTCTCAGCTTGGTACTTAAATCATATTTAGTCTTGAAATAACAGTAATAATAATTTTGCTTAATATGATACAGCTATCTCTTTTTTTTTTTTTTTGTCTTTTTGAGACGGGGTCTTGCTATGCCATTCAGGCTGTCCTGGAGCTCACTTTGTAACCCAGGCTGGCCTCAAACTTGCAATAATCCTTCTGCCTCAGCCTCCTGAGTGCTGGGGTTACAGGTGTGCACCATCACACCTGACTGATATAACTGTCTTGCCTAGAACCAAAAATGCAATAATCTCATCCCCAAAGTCTCAACAATTCCAGTATTTTTCAAATGTCTATGACTCGGTGAAACTCAAAGCAAACTTTTAACTGTGAATCTCTATTAAAAATTTAAAAATTACATAATCCCAAAGTACAGTGTTACAGGGTAAACATTCCCATTCTGAACACCTTGAAGTTCCATATCTAGCACCTGAGGCACATAGTGATAAGATGTAGTGTCCAGAGAGCTTGGGTAACCTCACTTCTGTGGCTTTGCTGGTTGCAGCCCACATGGCCTCTGTCTTGGATTAGCTTTACTCACAGCTTGCAACTCAGATATTACATGATCCTGGCATCTTTGGTTTCCTGACGTCTCTTCTGTACCTTCAACTTCATTCCCACAACTTCATACTTTGCCTCTCTTCAGGGGCTTCTTACCTTACCTTTTAGACTTTTCTTAGAAACCTGACTGGAAGCCTCCCTGACCCCACAGCAGTTGCATTTTGCATACCAGTAAAACCAGCATTTCATGCATGATGCCAAATTTTGTTAGTGGAAGCAGTACGCAGGCTCCCTGCGCCATAGCTGCAATGTTCTCTGAGTGCTTGGATGGCTGTGCAAAGTGAAATAAATCTTGGGTAACTAATTCCCTAAGTGGCTATATTTGTCAGCTTTTCTGTTGCTGGGATAGAATACCCAACACCCACAGTTTAAAGGAGGAGAGATTATGATTATGGTTTTAGAGGGCTCGTTTCCATGGTTGGCTGGCTCCAAATCAGAAGTGGCATGCTGGAAGGAAATGGAAGAGAAAAGCTGCTCATTTCATGACAGCTACAAAACAGGTAAGTTGGGAAGGAGCTGGTGACAGAATATACCTTTCAGACCACACCTTCAGTGACCCACCTCACACAAGGCTCTACCTCCTACTACATGAGACCTTTGGAGGGCATTTTAGAACTAAGTGGTCACAGAGGCCCTTGAACAGGCATCCTTTCTCAAGCAGATGTCTCAAGAGACTGTCTTCTCAAATTAGAAATTTTTACAGTCTTGAGCCTTAGATGGGAGGCTTGCTAGTTTCTGAGATGCCCTCAAGGCATTTTCTTGTTCATGTACAAGATTCCTGTTTTTGTTTATTCAGTTATTTGTGTTTTTATGGTGCTAAATGTGTTAGCAGCCACACCTCCTTTGGTCCCAATTTTACATGAAGTTCCTTGTGGGCCAAAATTTAAATTTTTCAAAATTTTGTGCTTTGGTTTTTTGTCTTGATAAATATGACTAAAAGCAGCCAGCAGTAGCCATTCCACAGCCTGAATGTTGACTGTCTTGAAAAGTCTTCCTTCAGATCAGTCTATTGTACTTAACCTCCCCTTTCTTGAAAAGTCCATTTCCCGTCAGAAACCATGAGCTCACACTTTCCTGTCCAAATTTCTGTCAGCATTCTGGTCTTTTGAGTTTCTGCCTGAATCACCCATCAAACTTTACTTACAGTATTCTAGTGCTTTTCTAGCCTGCTTCATCAGATTTTTCAAAAACCTCCTGGTAACCAGTTCCAAAGGATTCTAAGCCTTTGATATAGTCACATCAATGATCCCACTTCTCTAAAATCAATTTACTCAGTTTCCCCATCATTGAAATCCCATACCCAACACCCACAACTTAAATAAAAGTTTAACTTATTCATGTTAGCCGGTGATCCAATCCATGGACATCTGACTCCAGGGTAGAAACATCACGGCAGAATGACGTGTCAAAGCAAAGATGCATAGCTCATTGTGATAGGAATAAGAGCAGGGAACAGTACCAAAAAGGAGTGGAGTCTGGAACCATGTATATAGTATATACTCAAGATCATATTTCCATGACTCATACAGGTATACTCAAAAGTGTGCTCATTAATCTGCTAGGCATTTCTTAACCTAATCAAGCTGACATATCATGATTAATGGTCATACTGTTTTTATCATGAACCAGGAAACAGAGAAAAAAACTAAATGGACCGAGTTCCCACTATCAACAAGGGGACAACCTGTATGACTTAAAGACCATTCAATAGACCCAACTTCTTAAAAGTCCATAATACCCAACTTCTTAAAAGTCCAAAGACCAAGCTTTTACACAATGGCCTTTAAAAGACATTGTCCAAATTCTGATCATAAAACGGACCAATCTGTCTGAGAAACTTTAATTATAAAACTATACAAAGTGATTAAAATATCCAGTAAATTTTAATTCTGAAAATTTATTGAGGAAAAAGTATATTGCAATTAATCCCTCTCAAGGTACTCCTTGCTTCCAAAACACTCTATCATTCTTGCCACTTTCTGAAGCAGCTCTGTGTTCAAAAGGTGCTATAAAATACGGTGAGTGCCACTGTGGCATGGCATCCAACTGAAAGGCAGGCTCTTGAATAGATCAGACCCTGCCACCTTATTCATTAGATATGTCACTGTGCCACTTACGGCTCTTTTGCAAAGTCAAACTGACCATGAAATTTAAACATTTTGAGTTAATTCAAAATATTAAGGAAGCCATTCAAGCATAACTAAAAACACTTATGAAAGAGGAGTTCCAGAACATTTTCAGACAGTAACAAGAATTGTGGCATAGGTGTGTTGGAAGTGAGGAGTATCTTGAGGGGAATTAATGGCAGTATATCTTTTTGGGAGGATTTTAAAGCTAAAAATTCAATATCTTTAATAAAGGTACAAAGTGTTGATTGTCCATATATATTTTGTCAGTTTTAGTGGTGTGAGGTTGTTCACAGTGCCCTTATTATCTTTCTGACATTTGTAAAACTTAATAATTAGTATATTTGCAATTCAGTGGTTAGTATATTTCAGTGATTATGTATGTTTAGCTATCAACATAGCTGATTTGAGAATGTTTCTGTCACTTCAGAAAGAAACTGCATCTTAGTTAGCAATACCTCCCATCTGTTCTCTACTCTTCCGAAATCTAAGCAGTCACTAATATACATTCTGTCCCTATAAATTGTTTATTCTGAACATTCAATACATGTGCAGTTATAACATACACGTGTTTCGTCTGTTTGGATATTTTCTATTGGTGCATTTGAATTTACTCTTCTGTCTTGTTCCCTATTATACCTGTCAGCTTTTAAGAATTTTAGTTTTATTTGTATTGTTCTAAATTTTTCATTTAGCTTTTCATTTTTTATGCTAATTTTGTCCATTTCTTTAGTCATTAAACCTATCTTTTCTTCTACATTCTATCATCTTTAAAAAATATCTCAGCTGATCTGCCTTCATTGACCACTTTTCTCTTTGAAACTACACTTTCCCAGGTTCTTTAAATATATCCATTTTTAAAAACTGCATTAAAAAGAATAGTAAACTCTGAACTAAGTAATATTTTTTTCTCTTCTATTTTCAGGCAGATTAACCTACACACAATTTTCTATCTGTCAGCTGCAGTGAGAAGATAATCATTCAAATTCTACCATATCTCCAGCTCATTTGGAGCCTGGCC